CAAAACTCGCGTTTGAATCATCAGTGGCAAATCCTTCAAATGAAAACTTACTTATGTAAGTCAGAACTGCCGGCATTGTAGTCTAACGTTACTCTCCCAGGATCAGGAGACAGTCCTCCATAAAATGTGCTGCACACATCTTAATATTTGGGTTGAAGTGTTCTGGAACAGTGTTGTAAATACAACTTAACCACAGATTTCTAGTCGTGTCCTCTTTTGGAAGGCCAAACAAAGTAGTTTTGCTTTCACAACGAAACAGCGTCATGCGGCGGGCTCAACGAAGGAGCGGCCTGCGGGGCTTGCGGCAACCACATGTGACGACCCCGGGCTGGACTCCGCTTGGTCCACGGTGAAAGCCGATCCGGCGAATATCTCTTTGGATTTGAGACTTTAGTCTTTGCAACTTTACAGATCTTCTTTATGCACCAAGAGCTTGTAACACTCCAAAGAGAAAGGAAAAATTTAAATCGCATCATATGACCCCTTTAATAATTACAAATAATAATGTTTAAATAATGTTTATTCAACTGTTTCTTCTGTATCTTTCCTTGCATTGATGTTTTTCAGGTGGCTGAGCACATTAATCAATTGGTGAAGGCGGAAGATGATGACAATGACCCAGACAAAAAGAACAACATTGTCTTTAATGCAACCTCTGAATTTTGTCGCACTCTTGGAGACATCCCCACCTACGGGCTATCAGGAAACCGAGAGGACCAAGAGGATATTATGGTATGCAGCATCCCGACCCTGTTCTGTTCTAGTTCTCAACGGCCTCCACTACTATTCTGGATGAAGAGCACATTGTGAACTCTGGTCTCGCTGCTGCACTACACTTAAGATATATAGTTTCACTTGTGGATATTAAATGTCTGTTTTGTTTGGGTCATACAGGACTTTGAAAAGGATGATGAGAAAGAAGGAGGCGGACAGTCAGACTCTGATATGGATGACAACGTGGGCTGGAGCACCGTCAACCTGGATGAAGAGAAAACCCAGGCAGATGTGAGTCTTCTGCTCACCTCACTGACAGCAATTCAGTTGGACTGGGAAACCGTCACTTCAACACGATTTTTCTGTTTTCTGTTATAGTTCTCAACGACCTCCACTACTATTCTGGATGAAGAGCCCATTGTGAACTCTGGTCTCGCTGCCGCTCTACTTCTGTGCAAAAACAAAGGTGAGATATCAACCAAATCTGATTTTGAACTGAATAGAATGGGTAACAGTGTCTAATTTATTAAAAAAACATTCACTTAACTCTTTCAGGACTGCTGGACACACAGATGCTGAAGGTGGCTCGTGTCAAAGCCTCAAAAGGAGCTCTGCCAAATGATAACTACTGCATCGAAGACAAGATGTAAGTAGATGTTGCAAAACTTTCTCCAGTGGTTGTTTCTTAAGTTACAGTTGCGCTATGAACATCCATATTCTCATAGAATAATTATGACTATAGATATCGCCATTGGTGTGAATAGAACACTGTAACCTCAGAAAGGAGAGGTTTGAATGCAAAGCCCAATATTAGATTAATAAAAACAGACTTTACAACAATCCCACAGGTTTTAGTAATGTT